TATTCCTAACACTAAGTTATCATCCACGGCATCCTCATAGTTTGAAGTATCACAACTTCTAACTTATGATACTTTGTCCTAGGGTGACGTTATGGTGTTTGTATCTCCAATCGTGTGTTCTGTTTACATTTGATATTACGTTCTGTGCTTTCAGAACTGACTCTGAAAGTGAAGGTTTGTTTTGCCTTGTTATCATCTGGCTCACCTCCCCCCATGGTCTGCTGTCTAGAAAAGGATAGTGCTGGCTGGCTTGCTTTTGCTTGCTTGCTTGCTTTGCTTGCTTGCTTTGCTTGCTTCTGCTTTTGCCTTTGCTTCCTAGTTAGTTTAGCTAAGCAGTCCAGTTCTTTCCCTGGACTGTTTCTTTTCCTTTCCTCTTCCTGAATACCATCGAACCTGCTCCGGACTGGGACCTGGGAAACACCGAGGAGCACTGAGATCCTGCATTTTGTGATCTGCAGCAGCCATCCCCAGTGCTGGAGAGCAATCCCCAGCATCCAGACCTGGGTGACACTCCCAGGAAAGACTTTCTGGATTTGTTCATCTCTTCAGAGTGGTGAAAGAGTTTTGTTGTCATCTGGTGTTGTTAATTTTCTTTTTGGTGCTGGGGGAGTGCTTTGTTCATTGAATAAACAGGTTCTTTTCCACTTCTCTCAGAGAAAATTTTTTCCCGAACCAGGTGGGTGGGGAGGGGCCGTGGGGGTTTGTTTTCTGGGGGCTCCTTCCAGAGGGTTTTCCCCAAATTTGCCCTAAACTAGGACATACTTCTAATAGAATCATACAATAATTTAGGGTGGAAAAATTCAAGGAGAAATTCAATTTACACAGCTAACATACCGTAATTGGAGAATGACAAAGGCACAATGTGAAGGGCTAGGAACATTCTGGTTCTAAGTCACTTTTCCCTGCATTTAAGAAAGCATATTCTTCACTAGGGGCACAAAAATCTCAGCCAATCCTTTTTTTTTTTCTGTTTCCAAATAAACTGCTTGAATACTCCAAAGCCATTTGAAGTCAGGAAAAACAATTCAACCATTTTCTTTTACTTTAGAAAACTAGTGTACTGGGTTAGTTAACTTTCTTGTAGTAGCCCTCAGTAGTGCTGTGGTTTGTATTTGTAGCTGGAGTGGTGTTGAAAACACAACAGTGGTTTGGCTACTGCTGAGCAGTGCTGGCACTGCTCGCTGAGGAGAGGGCATGCTATGGTTTCACTAGGTGGCTGCTCGGGGTCAACCCACCACACCTGGGATCACGAAGGAATGAAAGCTGACTTTAGTTTTAATGACAACAGCAAATCCCCTATGTATACTCTTGATCTGACCTTCCCAGCACAGTATTTAGATACAGGAGTTTATTTTCCATCTTCACCAGGACAGAAGCAAGCCATGTCATCTGAATTGAGAGGAATCCTGTGGGAACAGATGTACATCTGACTCCCGCCTTCCCTGCAAGTGAGAACTGGTTCAAAGACTATAGTTTGATCTGGGCATTCCTGGCAATGTGCTTAAGCTACACCACAGCCCTTCTGTTTCAGAATGCCTTCTGTCACTGTGTAAACCACGACTCCCAAATGAAGTAGAAACTTATTGAGTAGGATAACCAGAGGAAACAAGATTACCATATCTCAAAGTCTGAGCACAGAAGGTTTGTCACACCACCCATAAAAGTATAGAGCATGAGCTTGAGAATTAAATGTTGCACATAATTTGAGCAGTGTCAAAACCAATATTTTTATTCATTGTTTCTAAACAGAATGCTTATTAGCTTGCTTAGTCATGTTTCAGTATTAATGCTGTAATTATTTATGCAAGGATAATACCTGGCAAGAGTGCCAAAAAGCACATTTCTCTGGAAGAAAAAAGCTGCATTTTACCCACACCCTGAGGACTATGAGCAGCCCTTGTCAGCAGGGAGAAGCATGGCTGCTCCACCAGGGCTGGGGATAAGGGGGATGCTGGGGCAGGCAGGGACCTCTGTGACAGCTCCATAGTACCTGAGGAGAACCAGGCCAGCTGGGGACAGCCACAGGGGTCAGCTGCAGTCCAGGGATCGCCAAGCCTGACCGTAGAGACTAGCCAGGTTCAAGGTCAAGACAAAGGATCCATCAGCCAGGGAAGCACAGGATCAGTGAGGTACAAGGCCAGGCATGGGCACACCCACAGCGTGGCTAAGGCAAGGGCCTGAACTTAAATTTGATTCCCAGTCCAAGGAAAAGACATCCTCAGTGAGCTGCAGCTCTTACCACCAATGTCCACACTGAGAGCTGGACTATCCAGAGCTATCCATGAGCACAGGCAGTCAAATGGCCCTGGCAATGGTGACACAGTAACTCACCCGATTTTGAAGGACTGCCTTTGAAAAGTGCTGTGAGAAATTATAGCTGTTGCCAGTTATTTGAATATTAGTGTTAAAATAATGGCCACTTCACCACAGCCACAGGATGTTTTCTGGTCTCTTCTGACCTGCCAGCAGACCTAGATTATACAGATAGATAATAGCCAGGAGTGTACCATAAGGAAGAAATCTTCACTTATAAGGATAGAAAGCATGGTGTAAGAGCAAATTTTCCAACCTTTTAACATCAGGTGCTGATGAGAAGAGCATGGTGTTCAGAATCAGTTTGCCCTGAATTTACAGCTTGGTCTGAGATATTATACATGGAGATTAAAATGGACATTTATTTTGCCCCCACCAGAATTCCAGCCGCTGTTTATTCAGTTGCAGTGCTGGGCAGAACAGCACATAGACAACCAGCCTGCCCCTGCCCCCAGGAATTTGGTTTGTTTTCCAGTCACAGAAGATAGTCCCAGATGAAGGGTTTAGAACTTAAAGATGGAAACATGCAGGAAAGATGAGTGAAAAAGGGAAGAGGCAGCAGGAGAGAAATAATCATGGAAAAAAAATGTGCAAATCATTGATAACCTTCAATTAAAAGAAGAAAAAATAAAGTAGAATAGAAGACAAAGGAGGGAAAGGTCAGGAACTTGATAAAGTAGCAAAAACAGAGGCAGTAAGACAGAAGAGAGAGAGAACCTTGCAGGAGCAGAAATTCCTTGTTAGGGGAGCTGGAATCTAGGAATACTTACTCATCCTTTAGGGGAAAAAAAAAAACTTGTGAGGTGAAAGTCCAAATTACTCTTTCCAGTCAAAACCAAATATTGCATAGTAGAAGTTCCTGCCTTTCCGGTTCCTGAATTTTTTTGCCTCCTGTCCTCCAAGTGTTATCAGAGGCTCCTCAAAGTACCAAACGCTGCACTGCAGCCCATCATCCCTGCCCTGTGCCCTGACCTGTTCCTCTGTGTGTTCTTGCCATTGTGCCCTAGCCTTGTCTTCGAGCCATCTGCCTTCTCACAAAGCTATTCTTATGCCTGCTGCCTCATTTTTTCCTGCTGCCTCTCCAGATGCCTCCCACTTGCCTTCCAAAGCCTTGTAAAGATAAGAGAAGTTCTACTGCACATCAGGGCTCACCATGAAGCATTTATCATTTCCACACTGGCCTTTCACTGCCAATTCAATGGGGCAGAAATTGTCTCCCAGCACTCGTGCCTCCATATGGTGTAGGACCCTGACACTTCTGAGAACATCCCACTGGTGCTGCTCTGTAAATAGCAATACCTGTTTTACAGATAATATGCTGGTTTTGTTCTCAGTAATTCACTGTGCTAGCTTGGATATACCCCTGTATGAATCCTTTGTGCTCAGAACTGCTGTTCTCTGCCCAATGCCAGAAGAGTTGGCAGGAGAGCTTTGTTTTTCCTGTCTCACTGAGGACAAAGGAGAACCAGAGAACAACCTGCAGTGACAGATGACACCGTTGCTATCCCCAAAAGATTCCCCCAAATTCCATTCTAAGTGCCGAGTGGGACACCACACATCTGGAAACCAGAATGATCTGGTACATGCTGCCATGTTCACCTAACCCCTTCTTCTACAAGTAGAGCGGTACAGTGAGAGGTCTGAGAGGTATTATTGCTGCTTTTCTGGCCAACCAAAAACCTCACTCCAACAAAACAAAAGTTTCTTTACCTCAAAAATTTATAGGACAAACTTGACAGCGACCTCCTTAAGATCCTGTGGAAATTGTGTTGGCTCTCACTTTTCTCTCGTGTCTATTTTCGAGTACTCTGGTCTCCAGCAGACAGCACAGGTGTCAGCATGTTTCAAAGGCTTTTGTAATCAGAGCCATCTGATTTGCCAAATTGCATCATAGGTCAGAGACTGGCAGTAGCACAGCCCGGAGCAAATGATCCCTTTAAAATCCTGATCAGACATGGATCAGCGTGAGGAGCAGCAGGGCTCTGCTCATGGAAACAGCTGCTTCGAAGCAGTGCACACAATTGTGCTTTAAATCTTTCAGATATTTGTTGCATAAGGGCATCACTGCTGTTTCCAGAAGCCTCTTGGGCAGCAGCTGCAGGCACAGCCTGGCTGTCCTGGCCCTCGGGCTTCCAGCTGCCGAATCCAGCCTGGAAGGAGGCGGCATATTCCGTGATTCTGTGAAATCAGGGGAAATTTCTTCCAAAAAGAGTGATTAGACATCGGAAGAGGCTGCCCAGGGAGGTGATGGAGTCACCCTCTGTTGATGTGTTTAAAGAAAGACTGCAGGTGGTTGGACTCAATGATCCCGGCGGTCTTTTCCAACCTAAGCGATTCCGTGAAACCGGGGGCTGTGCAGGGTCACCGCGGCCACAGCCGCTGCCACGTGCCTGACCCTGGCCCGGCCCCAGGCTCGTGTGAGGGGCGGGCCGGGGGCGGCGGGGGAGGCTCGGCCGGCGCGGCCGCCGCCGCCGGGGCCGATTGGCCGGGCGGGCCGGGCGGGCGGGGCCGATTGGCCGGGCGGGCGGGGCCGATTGGCCGGGCGGGCCGGGCGGGCGGGGCCGATTGGCCGGGCGGGCCGGGCGGGCGGGGCCGATTGGCCGGGCGGGCCGGGAGGGCGGAGCCGATTGGCCGGGCGGGCCGGGCGGGCGGGGCCGATTGGCCGGGCGGGCCGGGCGGGCGGGGCCGGTTGGCCGGGCGGGCTGGGCGGGCGGAGCGGGGCGGCGGTGGCGCCGTGCTGCAGCCTCGGCCGGGAGGCGCCGCTCCCGCACAGCTGAGGCGCTGCCGCCGCCGGGCCCGGGAGGAGGTAAGGGCCGCCTGCATGGGCCGGGGGAGGGTGAGGGGTTGCGCCGCAAGCGTCTCCTTCTTTTGCCCCTTCCGCTCGTATCGCTCTCCTTTCTCCTTCTGCCGCGGCAGGGCAGGGAATGTCAGGGAGCGGGGCTGGGCAGGATTGGCGTTCCGCAGGGGCTGCCGCCGGGCGCCGCAGTTTTGATATCGCACGGAATAAACGCGGCCTGAGGTAATTCGTGATAAGCAAACTGCAGCAGAGACGTCTTTAAATTGCTGCTGTCTGTGTGCAGTTTGCTGTCCAGGCAGGGAGGCGAGACCAGATTGTTACGGATTAAAAAAAAAAACCAAAAAAACAAAAAAAACCCCAAAACCAACAAAGCAACAAAACAGCAACACACCTGCTTTATGGCGAGCTTAACAGCCAGAGCCGTGCGGTCCTGCCCACATCCGTGAGGTTGGAAAGGCACGCGAGGCAAGTGCATTTGGACTTGTGCATTCCTTTTTACATACGTCGGATCCCCTGGGGCAGCAGGCATGCCTTCGCTTTCTTCCGGGTGTCCTTTTCTTCCCCTTTCCTTCTGGCAGCCTGGAAAATTTCCATCTTCCGAGCAGCAGCGAGCCTGTAAAACTACAGTTTTAATCACCTCATCCCGCTTCAAGTGCTGTCTTTCCCTGCCTATCTGTAGGAACTGTTTTCCCCCAAGAGAATATGTACAGATGAACAGGATCAGATGGAGCACCTCAAAGCACATTTCTGTCTAGAACTGTCCATCTTGTACTTTGTCTCTAACACCAGTACCCCCCTTTTCATTACCTCAGTCTTGTTTTGCCCAGATGGGTCTGCCCAGTCTTTGCAGACGTACCAGCTGGGAAAGTACAGACTGTTGTGTGTCCAGAGCTGTTTATATAACAAACTAAAGAGCAGGTTTCTACTTCTGATTTGCAGAGACACTTGGAAGCAAAACTATCATCACTATTTTTACTTGCCTGGTGAGAGCTGAATTTGATAGGGAACAAATGCATTAATTAGCTTATGAGTTTGGATTGATCTTCTGATTCATGCTGTGGGTACTGGGTAATCTAAATATAGTGAGCATTTCATGTTCTCTTCTCAAGCTGACAGACGTGAACGCGAGTGTGAGTTTTGCTAATTGACAGGCTTTTAGTTTGGTCCTACTGTGTTTCACAGAAGGAAGATAACCTGCTGCTGTTATGAGTCAAGGACAGCATGAAAGAAAAAGCAGTTCTAGGAAGTAAAGCAGGCTTTAAATACCTGTAAGTATGCTAAAATAAGGGTGTGATATTGCAATCACCCTAAGTAAAATGGAAAATCTAAAGATCTCAAGTAGTTCCATATTCAGCTGGTGCAACAGTGATTTCCAGAAGATTCAGCCTTTTATCAAGTCAACAGTTAACCTCTAAGGGCTAAGTAAAGAAACCTTTCCTTTTTTCATGCAACCCTAAGAATTGCATGAAAGGTAAACCCACAGCATCTGAAGCAACATACTTTGAGCTGGGAACAACATGATTATTGAAGGCCTTCCAAAAGCTCTGTCACTGCCATTTTCTACTAAAGCAACCCCTTACTAATTCACCTTTGATTGCATGTTTTTTGTGAGTAGACAGATTTTTATCTAGCTACTTAAAAACATAGTTTTAACAAATATTTCAGATCTAGAGATGCAGTTGTGATTGGCCTGGGCAGAGGACAACAGCAAGGCACTCCAGCCCAGAATTAAAGTGTCTCTGGAGTACAAGTGTTGCTCTTTGCTGCCCAATTATGTCAGATCACTCTGCTGGCTTTTTAAAAAACTATTATTATAATTATTTTTCATTCACCATAAGCCTGGGTATATTTAGATCTTTTGTTATGTCATATAATACTTCTCAGTCATCATTTTGCCCTTAGCAAACTGTGAGTAATTAAGTTAGAAATTCCTCACTCGGTTTATATCTTTAGTGTGGTTAGTTACAATGATCTGTGTGGTCCAGTTCAAGTATTCCATTGTGACATGTAATTATTACAAATTGCATCCTTGGACTTGGGTGAAGTTGGGTGTTACTCTACAAAAGATCAAATAATCCAACCTTTCTATGCTTTTCACCATGCTAGGTGAGTCATCATTAGCAAATTTTTGTCTGTGCTGAGCCAAGTGGTGTGTTTGAATTTATCTGGACTGGAAAAGAGATCTGAGAAGCCAGTAGATCTTGTCTGCCTGTGTTAGCCCATTTCAGGCTTAGGTGGCAAAGAACTTCAAGCCAGATGAAACAGCGAATAGCTGCATGGGTTTTTTGAGGGGGAAATTTGTGTGTACAGTTGTGGATGTACATGGATACACTCTTAGTAGTCATTATTAGAATTAAAAAAGAAAAGAAATCACAGTTAACAGCTCTGTGTTACAAAGTATTGTTCAAGATCTCCATAAATGTGACAGAAACAAATATCACGTGCAGATAAAAAAATGAAAATCTAAGCGAAGATACTTTTCCTCCCTTTCCCCCGGGAGTCACAGTGCAGATATCTCAGCTGGTGTTTGCAGAGCATGCGTGATAAGCTCTATTTATCAGCCTTCTCTCATATTTTCACATATTCATATTTTAATATTATCATCACTGCCATTTGCTCCATCTCAACTCCTTCAACCTTTGAAAAGTCGGGATGTCATTCTGCAAGGGGCCAGCAGAAGTGCCTCCCTGGCTCTGTGTGGAGAGCTGGGGTTGGATGTGGGCTGCTGCTGGGTGTGGGATAGTTTCCCGGTGAGTCACGCAGATCCCACTGCAGCAGTCGCTTCCAGGGAGTGCTGTGCTCCGCATGATTAGCGGGCTCTCTCAGGGTGACATTGTTTCCTGAATGATGCAACTGAAAATTCCCTTTCCTGTGCTTCTTGTTTCCTGATCGATTTTCCCTCGTTCTCTAAGCCACTCCAGCAGCTGCGCATCTTTTGCTCCTGGTCTCTTTTCCCCTACGAATCTCTGCGAAGACAAGTTATGTCCACAGCTACTCTGATTAATTTGGTACGGAATGGAGGGTTCCAAGTAAGAAGGAGAGCCGCGCTCAGGTCCCGCTTCCTGCAGGACGAGAAGCGCCCCGCAGCCGCCTGCTCCATCTCCACCTGCGAGCGCCGCGCCTCCCGCTTCGACCCCGACGGGAGCGGGCGGCCGACCACATGGGACACCTTCGGCATCTGGGACAATCGCATCGATGAACCCATCCTCCTCCCACCCAGCATAAAGTACGGGAAGCCGATCCCAAAGGTGAGCCTGAGCAACGTAGGCTGCGCCAGCCACATCGGGAAGCGAAAGGAAAACGAGGACCGGTTCGATTACGCTCAGCTGACAGAGGATATCCTGTACTTCGCAGTGTACGATGGGCATGGTGGGGCAGCAGCCGCTGACTTCTGTGATAAGTACATGGAAAAATATATTAAGTAAGTGCTCATCAAGGCAATGTCTGTCAAGTAAATTACAGATTCCTTCCTTAGGGAATCAAAGGGTTGTACATTGTAGCTAATCCTTCCAGGTTATGTAGCTGACTGTCCTTATGGGACAGCGGGAGCACTGGGTGGAACAGACATGCTGTGAATTACTTACTGCGTTAGTGCCTGCCCCATTGGGCATGTCCAAAACCAGAGGAGATGAAAGCACAGTTGTGCCCCCTGTCCAGGAAAGGCCTTGGAACACGGGGAAAGTGTGGACTGACTAGGTTAGGGTCTCTGTAATTGCTGACCTATGGTTTATTTACACTCTTCTGTATCTCTCATATCCCTGGATGCTGGATAAGGAACTTAGATATTTGCAAAATTACAGGATTACGCTTTCAGTGCACACAGTTAGTAAAATCACATTACCTTTTCACTCAAGCCCAGCATCATTCAGTGGGTGCAGGTAAGAGGTAAGACTGCAAAACAGATTGATCAGGATGTATGTTTCTTGGAAAGAGGTTTAATTTCTTTGTTTACTTTCTTGTTTCCAGGGAATTTCTTGCCGAGGAGGAGAACCTGGAAAATGCTTTGAGCAAAGCTTTTCTAGAAATAGACAAAGCATATGAAAGGCATGCTAATCTCTCTGCTGATGGTAGGTAAAAAAAATATTCTACTCATATAGGTGTGGAGAATAAAGTTTGTTTTATTTGCTCAGTAGTTCTGCAGTAAAATGTCCAGGAAAGTGCTTGAAAACAATTTTACTTAAACAGGATTTTGCTCTGGTCACTTACTGCAAATAAAGCAATTATGCTTTACCTCCTAAAAATGAAATAACTACTGTAAGTCTCAGTCATATTTACTGGAGGAGTTATGAATCTGAATATTAGCATAATCATCAATGAATTTCTCTTAATGTGATTCTAAAAAGGATTATGTTTGTCAAGGTAGTTTAGATTTACAAGGACCATAATTTTACTGTTAAGAAATGTGGAGAGGGATGTTTTTGATTTTTTTTTTATTAGCTTTTTTTTTATTATATTAGGGATGGAGGGTGGGTGCTTTTATATGTTTGTTTGTTTTAAAGCTGTTGCTCCTGTGGATTAAAAGCAAGAGTGTCAAAATTCCCCTTCCTAACTTGGCTGCTGCACTTGAGGAGGAACGTAAGCCAAAAGTAACGCAATCAATATTGCTTCTGCACAAACAGAATCACAGGAGTAGCTGAGTGGGAAAGGGAAAAAAAGCAGTGAAGAGGAAAACAAGTTTGGCTGTGGTAAAGCTGGTACCAGCCCTTTTAGACTCTCATTTAATCCTGGCTGTTAATTAAGTTCTTGTATATGTGTCTAGAGACTAAGTACATCTGAAGTTCCAGTTGCAGCAAGCAGAGCTTATAGAGAGTAACTTGGGAAGGGAGATAGAAGTGCCTGTCCCAGTTCTGTCACAGGAGCTTTCTCAGCCATGAGATACAATTCTGAGAGTCAGGCCAGTTTTAAAAAGAAAACCACAAACAAACCAAAAAAAAAAAAAAACAAAAAAAAAACCCCAAAAAAAACCAAACCAAAACAAAAACCCCCACAAACAACCAAACAAAAAACCTGTCCCCGTGCTGGTGCAGGCATGGGCAAAATAACTGAGGTTTAACCAGAAGAACAGAAACTGTGAAAGTCTTCCCTCCAAGAAAGAGCAAGTAACCCTGTAGGGACTGAAGTGATACTGTATTCTCAAGCTGCTTTTCTGAAGCAGTGGCTGAATACAATCAAGTAATGGAGTGGCTTTCTGCACTTTAACTGCTAGATGAATCTAGGTAGGCTCAAATTCAAGTCAGGTAGCCTGACTGCTGCAGCACTGCCTCTTACCTTAGCCTGCATCAAGGATTGGGAAAAAGTCTTAAATCCTGAGATGCAGCCCTTAAAAAAGTAGGAATTAATCCATAAAGGTAATTTTCTCATTGCATTTCATGTTGTAAAAAGACCAGAGTTACTTTTGACATATGAACTGAGTTTTAGCTAAGCTCTTGAGAGACATCAGCAGAGCAAATGTGTTTTTTTATCCCAGAGCCTCTTTGCAAATCCAAGACAGCATTTGAGTACAAGTTTGTGTGCTCTCCTGGATCTGATAATTTCATTTTCACATCTAACAGTCCCCTTCCCTAGCCCTTTTGAGTAAGACAGCTCTTGGTTTGGCTCATTGTAGTGATCTCTGTGTCAGAGCAGCTCCTTGAGCAGAAGGATTGAGAACTGTACTGGATGTATTATTCTGTTTTTCTGAAAACTATTTCCAACAATAATGCTTTGTAGGTGAGACATAGAATTGGATAACAACAATATTTGACAAATATTTTCTGTGCAGCAAGCAGAACATCTTAGAACTGCTTATAGGATTTTTTTCATACCATTTAACTAACTGGTGCTGCTTAATGCCAGAAAATTTATGCAATGGTTACCAGGATACTGCACAACCCCCCTTCATTAAAAAAGCAAAATAGAGGGTTAAAGAGTTGCCAAACATCCACAAGGGCCACGCTCTGGCAGGCACTCAGTGTTTCTCAGGTAGGCTGAGCATCTGTAAGCTCTTGCAGGAGCCTGGGGGATCTAAGAGAGTGCGTTGTTCTTGGCTGAAAATCAAGCTCAAAGGCAAAGAATGGAGTAACAGGGTGCAAAATCAAGTTTGGATTTCTGAACAGATTAAACTGCTCATATATCTAATGTTAAAATAACTCAATACTTTGTTGACTGCTTTGTGTAGACATTTTTGTTGTTACTGATGTTTTGAAAGTTACATAAAATTTCAGTGCTTGGCATATGTCTTAGTTAGAAGCCTGTTTCCAAGCTGATTCAGTTTGTCAGCAAAATTTCTGATTAAATGTGGCTATTCTGGATGTGACAGTCAAGACAGTTGCTAAAGTACCTTGAAGTTGGTGGTTGATTGTGTGACCTGGTGTATCTGGATTACACTGGATGCTCTCCAAGTCTGACCTCCTTTTGAAACCTAGCCATAGCTGATGAAGTGCAAAATAATAGCTTTGGCTTCTTCCTGTAGATGACCCTTTCAGGGCTCACTCCCTTCACTGTGCCTGCAAAAAAACCAGTGCACATTCAGGATGTCCAGGTCTTTACTAACACACAGCGAGCTTTAAAATTTGTACCTTTGTTTGAAGGTAACTAAACCCTGGGACAAATCCCTGTAGCCAAAATTGCATGTTTGAGGCATTGTTTATAGTACTATTTAAGGGGTAAAACCTTACATAAGGCAAAAATTTAACAGGACAAGAGACGTGCCTTGTTGAGAGACCCCAGCCATGCCTTCAAGGGCATGGCCCTCTGTAGGTCACTTAACAATGAAACAGTATTTGAAATTAGAGATGGAAAATACATAGCATGGTAGTTCCTGTGAGCTTTCAATAATAAAAATGGTTTATGTGTGTGTACCAGGTACTGCTGCTGTGTCTGACATGCAGTTCACCAGTGCTATTGCCAGCTGTATGGGCCTGCTGGGGCCTGGTCCATTAACCCCTGTGATAGTGATCTAGACCTGTTTCACACAAAAGCATAAGAAACTTGCTGTAGGCAGGTCTGGGATAATCTGCGCCCTGCGTAAATCCTGTGTAATCATTAACAGTTTCGAGCTATGTCTGATCTCTGATGCTTGGTGCTTGATACCTCTTCAAAAATGCATTTCCATTCACTTCCATGCATTTAAATATAGGCCAGTCACTTTCAAATCACTGCTAAAGTTAGGTATAGAACATAAAGGAAGCTCACATCCAACAAATGACATTATCCATGGCCCCCAGAGATGGGCAGGATTTTCTGCTATTTTTACCAGCCATAAAAACTAAAATGTAAAGGCTGAAAAGCTCTGCTCAGCAAGGACAGAGATAAGAAATTAAATACTGTGCTTGAGGAAATTTAAGCATTTCCCTGAAGAAATGTGAGACACACCCTTTCTTGGCCTACTGGAGTCCTGCCAGGTAATGTTACTGCTTCTGTTCACTGTGAGCCAGAGAAAGCAAAGAGGGAGTTTGTCCATCAACCTCCACATTCAGTGCATCCAACTCTAATCACATTGGCCACTCACATCAGGAATAGCCATCTTACTAAAACATAGCCAGGTATTAACTTGTCTACCTATGTTTGAAAGGATTCTTACTCTTGACTCTTAATATGCTGACAAACAGCAGAAGTTACTTTAAAGTAATTCTATTTTTAAAGTTTGTTTTGTTGGGTTTTTTAAAGTTACCATGCAAAAAACTATTTCATTTCTTTAAATATGTTAACCTGCAACACTGAGGGAAAGGGAGAGCTGCAGAGATTGTACTTGAGTATTTAATAAATTTATGAGCATTGTAAAGGCAGCCTTTTTATCCAAGGGCTCTGATTATTACCTAATCAATTTAGAAGACACTAATTACAATATTAAAGGCATATTTGTTTTGCCTATTTTTCCATTAGTCAGAACAATTCATAAGCTTCTAATCAGTGCCTTTAAGATGGCCCCATTTCATTTGGCACTGGTTTGAACTCCCCATATTGGTGTAATTACCTTGAGGGAGAAGATGTTCTTCAGTGGCCACTCTTGCCATATATGAGACAGCTGGAGCTCTGGCATTTGTAAAATTCTTCATTTGATCTGTTGGTTGGTTACTTATCTCCATAGGAGAAACAAAATTTAGACTTTATTTGGGCTGAATTTAAACAGTTTTTTTCACACAGTTCTAGTGAGAAGGCAAGTTTTAGTGAGTGGCAATTCCCCAGAAATACCAAGGCTGATTTACCAAGGCCAAAGATGACCTGCACAGTTCTATCTCCTGTTCTGCAGCCCTTATTCTCGCATCTCCAGTGTTGCAGGTTTATTTTGTTTGAACAAAGTTCCTGGGTGAATTTCCTATTTGCCTCTGTGTACGTGTTATTTGTGGCAGACACTGTACCTGGTCAGCAGCTCTAGAACTGGAGGCCCTGGACACTTTAAGCTGGGCTTCAGTGGAAAGAGAGATCTGCTAAATTTTGTCCCAGGCGAAGGAGTCCAGCGGTTCCTAGCCTGGACTACTGGAAGGTTTCCACATCCTTTTTGTCACATTAGTTGAGATGACTTGCAGTAGAAGTTGTCCAGTGAGTGTTAAGAACCTATTGAAAGATCTTAGTTTTATAGTGATATTGCTAGGAAAACAAACACTTTAATTGTTAAAACCGATACGTATGCTGATGCAACGTATTTTGTGCTAAACTAGTAGCAGCTGTAGAAAAGCATTAGAAATGTTATCCCATCATCATTCCTGTGGTTTTGAGCTGTGCTAGAAATCACATAAGGCTACATCTGGCTTCATGCATGTTCTTGCATCTCTACCCAGAGCATGAACTGGATCCAAGGAAGAGATTGTGAGCAGCGTGTATTTTTTCCTAGGAGTGCTATTTAACTAATAAACATATAAAGTTCAAGTCACTATGTTCTTTACCACAATTCTGGACAATATATTGTTCTTTAGTACCAGCTCTTGATTTTGTGATAGTAGCTCTTTTCTTTGGGAGTTTGCACTGAAATGATGCAGATTCACCTTAATTCCAAATATTTCCAGTCTTCTGTGAATTGAAGACTACGATTTAACTTTTTATATATTTCTCAGCATAGTTCTAAAACCACAGAATGAAATGGGAAAGTAGCAGCAGTTCTGCATTAATTTTAATGTCTAAATAAAAGTTATCTTCTATAAAATAAAAAAGTAGTTTAACATAGGTTGCTCTATTTCACTTGTTCTAACTGTTGGCTAAAACAGGTATTTTACTGGTTCTACTAAAATTTCTAATTGCACTGGTACGTTTTAATATCTTATTTTCAAAATCTGCCTCAAAGTGACCCTGCACTGGGCTAGTCCTTGCTTCAGATGAGAAACAGGATGTCAGTGCCCACCAGTGCCACATCCAGTTTCCAGTGTCCCAGCCTGCATGGCCCTGGCACAGCCCAAGGTGTGACCACGGCCAGTGACGGTCACCCCTGACCCGCTGGTTCAGCTAAACCCAGTATTCGCTGCAGTAATAATACCTGTTTTAAATTGTAACATCAGCTTAATTAACACCTGTTTGTGAGGGTTTGTGTTTGGGCTGTTTTGATTCATGGACTCGCTGCTTTCACTGCACAACAAGGCTCAATGCATCTTCCAGGGCTTGGTGACTTCAGTTTACTCCCAGCCCTGTTTGACTTACAAGGTGCCGATACCTCACAGGGCTGGGGAAGGAGGCTGTAAAGATCTCACAGCTTTTGCATTTCTGTTGCTATCTGTTGGCATCTGGTCAGATTTGGGGCTGCCTGGCCTTCCTTGGGATTAAACACAAAGTCTGTCGCAAATCTGTTCCATGTCCCCGGGGTCAGGGCTGCAGGGCCAGAGGTAGGAGCACATGTAGTTGTAGCTGATCTCTGCAGAAGCAGTGGTGGAAAGACAGTGACATGTTAACTGTTAGTACATGAAAACAAGAATATAACTGGGGAGTCACATTCTTAAGCAAGCCCAAAACTCATCTCAAATCTGCTTTGAAAAACCAGAACAATTGGAAAAGCCCAGAATGAAGGTAACCTACAGAGGGCCTTTCAAGGGGATTTGCATTGGCTGTAGATGCAAATGTGTTCCAGGCAGTAGCTGGTCCTGTCCAGACATTTTGGTGTAATAGGTCAAGTCAGCAGTAGCTTTCCAGGCTACTCTTACTGGGTTTCCTCTGCAGAATTTGCAGGAAGAGAAAATAATGACTATAAAGTGGGACTTGCCCTTTCAAAAAGCAAATAAAACAGGGAAAGCTGGGCAGTTTTTCTGGCATTTCTTCACTGCAGATGATACAACAGATCTTTTTCCTGAAATAGGCACTTGCATTTCTCTTTTTCAAGAGTTTATTTTTTCTTTTTCTCCAGACCATTGCAGCAGTTGAAATGAGAAGCCCTTAAATCCGCTTGCATGAGTGAATCCAGGCAGGTCCATGAGTGCAGTCAGCCAGCTCAGCTCACTTCCTTGCTCTGTAGAGCAGGAGGGCAGCACCAGGGCTCTGTTTTGCCCTCTGGGCACTCACAGTGAATCCCTGTCAGGTGATCCCAGCAGTGCCCCGGGCAGGCTTCCCAGAGAGCCACTGCCACCTGCATCAGTTTGCAGGTACAAGGCAAGACGGAATCTCAGAATCCAGCTTCACCTTTGCACTGGGACCTCCAGCAAGTTGACAGGATGTGGAGGGAGCACCTTTCTTGGAAAAGGCCAGGCAGCCTGTTGGCTGAATCCTCCACTGAGGGAAGCTGAGGGAAAGAGTAATAGCTCTGACAGCAATAGGAGGATGCCACAGACTGATCTACTTCTTTCCCACTGGTGATCTATATGGAATTAAAATTACTGTAACTATAATTTATATATTACTATATAATTGCCCACTTCACCATCTAACAGAAAGAGAGATCACCTTTATGGTGACCTACTTGTGCAATCACTGTGCCCAGGGATAAGAACACTAACTCTGTAACCTGAGGTGAGCTCATGGGGCTGAAAAACTCTGCTACAAACTGAAAGGAAGCTACTGTACCTTGTACTGCTTTTATCCCACTTGACCTGCTTGCATGGAGCCATGTTGTTGCACATAAACACTTAATCCTTTCCACATTCTCTCTCTTCCTCCAGTCCTACATGCATGGATGTTTGCTTTTTTTTTTTTTTTTTTGTATGTGTAAATTTAGTTTAAACTTAAAAGCAGTTACTTGCTGATTAGGTAGAGCACAAGTTGTCTTTATTTTACCAATTGAAACTTTTGCTGTGATAAAGGGCAGTGCTCTTTGAGGCAGTGCTAAAACTTCTCTCTTTGATGACATTTGTAGCAACTCTGCTGAGCTCTGGGACCACTGCAACAGTGGCTCTGCTCCGGGATGGAATTGAGCTGGTTGTGGCAAGTGTGGGAGACAGTCGCGCTCTGCTTTGCCGGAAAGGAAAGCCTATGAAACTCACCATTGACCATACTCCAGAGAGAAAGGAGGAGAAGGAAAGGTACCTGCTGCCTGATGATGTGGCTTCCCAGAGCATGGCCTCAGTCAGGATGGAGCTGTGCTCTGCTGCTGGCTTGGGCCAGGAAGAAAGCAGAGTTGAATATAGAGCCCTGAGACCACTGTGACCTGACAGTAAGCTTCAGTTAATGCACTAGGTTCTGTTCAGAGGACCAGGGATGTGGAAAGACCTCCATGAGCAGAAGATCTCAGCAGTAATACCAGCATCACTGAGACTCAGAACAGAGCTATGACCACACGGTTCAGACTTGTCCAAAAGTGCCAAGTCAGAACCATCTTAGAACCTAGTTGGAAAATGCAAAGAGTAAATGCACTGTGATTCCCAGGTCAGGACTCAGCCCACCAAGACACATCGCTTCCATAGAGCCCTTCAAACAGCTAAAGCCAACCCTCAGCCTCTCAGCTGAGGCTCTCCATACATCATTCCTCATTCTAGCTACTGACAGAAATAGAGGATAGAGACAGGAGTAATGGCGTGAAGCAGTAACTCATTTGCTTTTTTTTTTTGTGCCTCTGGACAGGATTAAGAAGTGTGGTGGCTTCGTTTCCTGGAACAGTTTGGGACAACCTCATGTGAATGGTAGACTTGCAATGACACGGAGCATAGGAGATTTGGATCTTAAAAACAGTGGTGTGATAGCCCAGCCAGAAACAAAAAGGGTTCAGGTAAAAGAAGGTCTGGTTTACAGGGACAGCAGCACTTGGACAGCACAGGTATTTGATGCAGTGTAGTAGCCACAAGACATGAGCCCAGGTGAAGCCACACATTTTTTTTTACTGAAATAACCAGAGAACAATTCTCATTAAGTTGTTTCAGATTAACACCAACAGGACAGAAAAACAATCTGGTACTAAATTCAACCAGGTCAACTGCTAAATCTCACTCCTCACAGCAAAATATATGATGAGGGAAGAAAGGTAACACGTGATATGTATTACAGGTGTTAGTCTGTTTGGGTCCTGTGGTCAGATGAATAATTTTGAGGTTAATGCTGGTATAAAACCTTCACTGAGAACTGAGTAGGATATGGATGGGTCCCATCAAAAAAGTAGGATGTGTAGAGATTTGCACAGTTGAGAGGAAGAGGAGGAAGAGGAAAGGACAGCTGCATGTATCTTACCATAGCTCTGTAGTTGTCTAGAAAACAAATTAAACACCCAGAAAGTATTCAGCCTTCACTTGGGCAGGAAGCTCTCCTGTCAATTCATATTCTGTTTTTTTAGTTTTCCCCAATGCACCTCCCAGGGCCCCAAGAACTTCTATTGTTTTGGTCCCAATAAAGTGCCGCCCACTAGGGATTAAGGGAAATTACTGTAGTGCCATCATGGCTTCCTTGAAATCCCCAGCTTCAGGAAAATTTTTGCAGGAGAGCACACAGCACCACATAAAATAGAAAAGTGCTTTGCAAGAGTGTAAAAACATGGGGCAGTTCCCTTGCTTTGCAGCACTCACCCAGGGTCATGCATCCCGTGTGCCTTTGTTGCAGCTGCACCATGCAGACGACAGCTTCCTGGTGCTGACAACTGATGGCATCAACTTCATCGTGAACAGCCAGGAGATCTGCAACTTCATCAGCCAGTGCCATGACCCTGCTGAGGCTGCCCACGTGCTCACTGAGCAGGTAATGCCAGTGCTGCTCTGGGCACCAAGGGCTCCTGGTTGGGCTGGTTTGGCTTAAGAAGACCTAGGGTTTTTTTACACAATACCACATATTCAACTGAACTGAACAGTGCTGGCTGAGACATTTACCAGTCCTGCTGGCCAGCCTTTTCCTTACCCTGGGTCTTGCCACATCCTTGCCAGGCATCACATCAATTACCTTGTTTAGCTCACTGTCCACTGAACTGCATGGGATTGTAACTGCAGCTTCTGCCTGTGCTGACAATGTCATTGTCATAGACAGAAATGGCCAGTTTCTGGCCATGGTCTGGATGGTGGCATATCCTATGGGAAGATCTGGGGCATATCAGAATGGAGTATCAGGGCTAAGAAGGGGCAGGGGAGTCTCTGACCGCAGGGTGTGCTGTCCCAGGTGAAGTCAGACACTTGTTTCCCTTTCCAAGAGAGACACTGATGCTGACACTTTGTTTCTTCTCGCAGGCAGTGCATTTTGGTTCTGAAGACAACAGCACAGTTGTCATAGTGCCATTTGGAGCTTGGGGCAAGTACAAGAATGGGGAGGTGACCTTTTCCTTCAGCCGCAGTTTCGCTTCCAGCGGGAGGTGGGCGTGAAGACGATGCCACAGTGATCCTTTCCTGCCATCACCTGGACACAGCATGCTACAGGAGAACACCTCCATCTGTTCCAAGGCTCAGTGTCTTGTCCATCTCTTCTGTTCCCAGTGTTAGAAGATGCCACTGCTCCCTTGGTGCGTAGTGCCCATTGTTGCTTATGGCTGACCATGTCTTGCTGCCCATGTTATTCGCAGCAGCATCGGGGCAGCGCCCTGGGTTTGTTGCCCCAGCAGCTCCACACATCACTTTGTTCACAAAGACATGGTTCTGGGCTTTCACCTGAGGCTGGAGGGGGTGCACAGTCATTTCATGCCTACTTGTATTCCTCAGGACCCTCAGCTCCCTGGCAGCTTCCTTGTCCGATAAAACATGGGGGAACAAACGCACAATGTTCTTACCTAGACAGAGAGTTTGTTGTCTTCTTTTGCTGCAGCCACCTGAAACTCCCCTGTGCTCCAGGAGAAGTGGGTGAAAAACAAAGCAGAAGTTTCAGAATGCTTAGGTTCTGATGCCAGTGGCATTTGGTGTAGCTGTACAAGTTCCTGAGACAGTGCTACTTTGTGCTCTCTCTGCCATCATCTGTGATCCTATAGCTCCAAGGAGACAGACCAGGCTGGAGCCATGTGCTGTTGGACAGATGGGAACCTTTCTCCATTGGGTCCAAAGCCTGTGCAGTCTCTGTGGACAATGCAGCAGCCCCTTGCACTATCTTCTCTTTGCTGTCAGTGCCTGACAGAAGCACAGAGGAAGGAAAAAGACGCACAGTTTTGATATCCAGAGACTCTCATCAACTTGAATTTCTTTTTTTTTTTTTTTTTTAATAAAGAAAGTAAGCTCATTTCAAAGAGTTTACTCTTCAAGATCTGATGCATAAGACAGTTTATTTCTTCACACATACACGAGGATTTTCCTACCCTCTGCTGAAGGTGTCTGAGTTAGTTGTGATCTCTCATGTCTCTCCATGGTACACAAGGAGGTATTAAAATGCCCCAAACAAGCTAGAAAAAGGAGAGAGCATTATAACAATGTAAGGTCATTTTTGTAAGTTTTGGGTATTGTTTCTATTAGATGTCAGATATTCAGATACCAGAAAGGAGTTTTATACCTAGAGAAAGGGTTTTCACTTCCCCTCTTGGAGCAGAATCTGTGTCCAGCGAGTCATGGAGGGACCAGAGCTCTGATCCAGCTCATATCACTGCTGTGACATGGACTGCAGGTGATATGTTGGCACAGGTGAAGATCTGTTCCAGTGTGCCTCATTCACACTCTTCCTTCCTCCATTCCATGTCAGCTGTCAGCTCCTGTGGTGTTGGAATACGGGCAGAGAAGAACTGGTCTTTTCTCAGCCTTCAATTGATGCTTCCAGTAGCACAAGTATAAAAACAAAACAAAATGAAAGAGAAGTTACCTGATACTAAATCACGTTGTAAAAAAAAAAAAAAAAAAGAATTCTGAGGTGCTTGGCTGGACTGATTCTGATTTTCCAGTGTGAAATACATATCTTCATTACTTTTATCCCTTTCCTTTAGTCCAGGGTTATCCCTTAGGCAGTCAGTCCATTAATTTTTTCTTGTCTGTGGTGGAAGACCCAGCAGCACCCAGCAGAGCACTATGTTGACAGCATTAAGTACTGGGTGTGCAAAATGCCCTGGTGTAGAGTTGTGTTTGCACTGTATATCCCCTCATGGGTTGTCCCTCCATATCCCCTCTTTGTATCTGTTTAGTTCATCCCGACTTTCCCATCAGTACCTGTATGTCCATCAAACCCCAACCCATCCCCCTGTCTCCTCCCAGGTGATGTGTCCACCACCTGGTGACCATTCCCCTTTGTCCAGACCCTTCTCCCAGGGTCACCAGGTACCTGGACCCTGTCTGGGACTCCTCTCCCACCCCCTCCTCAGTGGTCACTCTGAAGCCTTGCCCCCAGAGAGCCACTCCCATGTCCTTCCCCCTTTGGCTGTTCGGGTTTCCCGCCCCCCTATATCTGGCTGCGCTGGGCTGGGCACTCTCTCTCTTGCTCTGGATGCCCTTTGAGGTCAGGTGTGGCCTGGGATCTCTCCAGGCCCTCATTAAACTTTGGAACTAATCCTGAGGGAGGGCACCTCTTTCCTTTGCTTGTGGGACCAGCTTGTCTTTGGACTCACGTGGGAGCTTCTCCAGGCCCCCCGGGATTCAAGGAGAAGTTCCTTCCCTCTGCCTGCCTCACCCCACTGCCCAGCTGGCCGGGCTCCACTGGGGAGTTATTCCCGTGGATTCGAGGGGGAGACGCAGCACCCTGGTTTTGTCTGTCCCATCACTTGGTGTGTTGTGTGGTATGAACAATGTACTGATTTGGGTTGTAACTGCAGTGGTGTCTGTAAATCTCTGCTGTACTGGATGCTGGTGCCCAGGCCTGTGTAGTGAGCACACCACTGGTTTTCAATCCTAATTCCCTCTCTCTCCTCAGATTTTCCCCAGAGTTGGGGTTCAGTGTTCACCTGAGGTCAGGATAGTTGCTGTTGGGGGTTTTGATTTCTCCTAACAGCATAGTTGTCTTCTCAGGGGAAGGATCCATCCATAACTTCTTTGAAATTTTACTAAGGAAGGGGTAAGACACAACTCTGTGAAACAGATTATGATTAGATTCAGGTGTATTGGTGGTTGCTATTGCTGCTTCTCTACTATCACAGAAACACTTGGATTGGGAAGGACTCCTGGGCACCATCTCACCTCCAATCCTTCCTGTTGGACCTATTGTTTTCTTTATCCAGTTTATTTTTCACTCTGGGGCAATTCCTGTAGTTGCTGCTGTTTGAGTCCTGCTTCAAGCCCAGCCCTCTCATACCACTGAAGTGAGGCACAGGCCACGCCCCAGTATGGGGCAAAAGCTGCTGGTTTTCACTGGGGTGGGCAAGGCACCCCTCCATCAGTGACACACTGGTTTGCCAGGGCTGTTGCCCATTCAGGTGCAAAGTCCCAGGCTCTGGGTGGTGATACCTGTGCTAGGAACCTGCCCAAATCCTTCCACACACCCTGCCAGCCAGGGAACAGCTGCCTCAGAGCACATTTCAATATTGCCTCACCCAGAAATCTTCTCTTATACCACGGTGACACCAGATTCTGCCAACCCCATTATGTGCCAACAGTGTTAGTTAGTAGCATTAGCAGCTCATGTAAACATGAACAAGGACCTCTGGAACCTGCACAATCATCCACACCAATCCAGAGCAGGGAGGGGGAGATGTATTCCTTCATCCTCTTGTGGAGACAAGACAGCTCCCGCAGCTCAGCAAGGCCATCCATGCCAGGACACAGCCCAGAGCCATTGTTTGTACTAGCACATTCCCAGCTTCAGCCTTATAAAGGATAAGCAGTGCAGCCAGCAAACTCCCTGACTCCCACAGGAGTAATAACACACTGGACACAAAGCTGCCATTGTCTGTGTCCCATGTTGGGTGCCTAAAAGGACCATGGAAAATGAACCTTGGCTGGACCACCATCAGCTGCCCACCAAGCTGCTCTTATCAATCCCCTCCACAGCAGAGTGGGGGCTGGGCGGAGAAAATAAAATGAACAAAACCCCCAAAGCTGGTCAAGATAAAGATAATTAATAGTGTTACCAGCCCCTTTTTAGGTGCCAGTACACAGCCCAGCACTGTGAGGATGCTGTGGGGAGATGAGCTCCATCCCAGCCAGCCCCAATAAACACTTTAGGTTTTCTGTCTGGTCACTAGGCCTCCTGCAGCTCTGCAAGCAACCAGCTCCACTGTACCCCTCCAGGGACTGGCAAGATCCTCCTGCACAGCAGAGCTCCTTCAGCTTGAGGACAAAGAGCAAATTGTCCTAAAACAACAGCTGCCTGCCAGAGAGGTTTGTTATTCCAGGACAGTGAAAGATCTCACACTTTGAATAAAACAAAATGGAATATTTGCTCTCTAGCTCACTGTCTTTCCTGAGCATCTGAGGTTACAACAAAAAGAGTATTTTTTGTTTATGACAGACTGAACCAAACATAACGGGTGACCTGCTGAGCAAACTGTAAAAAGTGTTTGCTTTTTTCTACCGTTTAGGGGATGGATTCTGAAATCCATTGGATTTGGTAAGAATATTTTCCTGCCTGAACATACCCCCTGGAGCAGTGGAATCTCTGTACAGGCACTGCAGGAGGGTGGGCTGTGGGTGCAGAAAGGCAAAAATGCTGTCCAGCTAAGTATTCATTTTTACTGTGAGGATGTGGAAGGCATGGGGCTGGTCTCATGTTGCTGGAGGATTTACTAGGAGAGGTGTTGAGACTGTAGATGGATTTCCAGCTTAAGTCTCTCTGCCACTTGCAAAGATGGGGGTTTCATGCTTCATAGAGGGAACTCCCAAAAAAGTCATTTGCAGCCTGGATTTAGGAGAGCTGTTCTCTCTGAATGATGAACATAGCAAAAGAGACTTAGATGGGGCAGAGATCCAGTAATTAATTTAATATAGGCCTTCATTACAGTCAGTCCCTTTGGGCTGAAATGCTCAGGGGTGGAGAATAATCCTGGAGCAGCTGAAAATGGGGGTGTGGAGAGAAATCAGCAATATCACTGCTTTTTACGTATTTGGAAATTGAGAGGAGCTTAGACTCACCACAGGATTTCTGCTGAGTTCCCTGGGATCAGGGTTCCATGAACCACATTTTCTGTCTCAGCTGGTGGATGTGCTGTGGTCAAAAACATTGCGATTTTTAGTTAAGGGAGAAGCAGAAAACAACAGCTACCACTGAAACTGGTTTAATAATAATTTCTCTTAAAAACCTTCAGTTGGGCACTTCCAGGTCATTGCTCACTCACCCAAGAAGCCAAATGTACACTACAACAACACTCTGGGTATTCCTTGGTTCCAAACTGCTGTTCTGAATGCAGACATACCCATCAGGTACCCTCTTGACCCGGGATATGGAGTGCTTGGGCAGTGGTGCCTGTCATAAATTTCTTACAGACTTAAGTGCAATTGTGTACATTTGCTACATGCTCTGCCTTGGGGCTGTATGTAATTTCTGTGGTTTGATGTTTATCTTTGGTGTAATCAGTGTTCGAATTTCATCTACCATGACATTTTATAGAGGAGCCCATCTTGCTTTTTTTTTTAAAATGTTTTTTCATCTTCATCAGCTCAAAGCTACAGTAGAGCAGCTAAGTCTGTACTGGAATGCTTACAAGATCTTTCAATAAAGAATTGGCTTCTAAGAGCTGTGTCACTACAAATGGATTTTTCTTCTTCCACCCCAGTGCCAACTATCAGAACAGACGCAGCTTCTCAAACTGTCACAGCTGTCCTGTTAGCCCCGGGCCTCAGTCCTTGCCATAAAAAGCTTCTGATAACCAAGGCTTTGGCTACAAAGATGTTCTCCCAGAGATAACCAGTGCAAAGTACCTCCTGTCTCTGGGCTGTGCTGCACCAGCCAGACATCACGTTCTAAGGTGCTATTTCTGTCCACCTGGATGGCTGTCATGATGAGCAATGCCAGCCTGTGGCATAGGGCAAAGAAGCAAATTGAGCCTCTGCAGGAAAATACAGTTTTGCTGCTGCATGAATTCAAAGCTGCTCTCTTGCAGTTGAAGAAACTATAAGGAAAAAGTAAGAGCTGAGGATTTTTAACTCAGCTGCAAAAGTAACCCTGAGATCACTGGTATTTTTAGTTAATACAAGTTTTCACAGCTGGACTCAAACCTATTTTTCTCTCTCTTGAAGGCAGCAGCCTTGACTTCAACGAGGTCTTAGTTTCCTACAGCTGAGCTCCACCATTTCTTTTTAGGAACAGAATCCTTTTTTGCTGTCCTTTGTTCAGTTTAGAGCTGATCAGCTCTTGGATATATGGACATATCCCATGGTGGTCCTGTAATCACTGCTCACATGGGTACATTTGGAGAGCTTGGATGGTGTGTTGAAAAACCTGCTGGCGAGCTCTGCCCTTTCACAGGACTTGGGAAATGGCTCCCAGGTTTCTCTGCAGTTGGAGCATTTATCCTGTAATGAGCACCTCTGTGAGCTGCTGCTTTTATGAAAAGAGGGCAGCCAAGCACCAGCAGCACCAGGGTGGTTCCCTCCCCAGCTTCAAGGTAGTCTGGGCAGAGCAGCCAAAATTAAGGAGAGCTTAAAGCTCTCAGAAGCTGTCCCTGGGAAGGGCTGGAAACTCTTCCCAGAGCTCATGTGAGCACCACCCCCTGCTCCTCACCCACACAGGATTTTCATCACTGCTGCTGGGCAGGGCCTTGCTACACCTCCCCCCCACCTCAGTGTTGGCAGTGGAAACACTTCCACCCAGATTGTCTCTGCTCCTGTCCGGCTCCTGCACCAGGGGCTCTGGTGCAGGCAGGATTGCATTTAGGTTTATCCGTGACCAAGTTTTGGTGCCTTTCTTTACAAATTGCCCTTTTTTGAGGGGGGCAGGCCCACATTAAACGCAGTGCCACACAACTCTTCTCCAGGAAGACAGGGCAGGATTTGGCTCCCAGCACATCAGCTCTGTTCCTGGGCTTGCTTACCCCACCCTCCTCCCTACACCGTGTGGCACAGTAACCTCACTAGCGAATCAAATCTGTATCCTGACATGGAGAGAGATGTGTCCTGCTGCCAGGAATTCCTTAATTTATACAGAACACCAAGCCTGGAAAACACCTCAGCCTTGCCTTTCTTAACTGAGTTACTGCACCTGTCAAGAAAGACAATTCGGTCACAGCAAATTGGCCACAAATTTGGTTTTACCTGATAAATGGAATGCCTGGTCCCGGGCAGTGCTTCCACCTGGCAGGGACTGTGGTGCAGCCAGAGCTAAAGGCTGGGGCACTTGAAAGGAGCTGCCCTGTCACTCAACAAATTTCACTCCAAAACTGCCCAGCTGATGCCTGTTGGGATTTTACAGGGCTGGGACTGCACTTTCCCAGTCAAAAGGTCCATCAGGATTGTGGGCTCCACCACTTCCTAGTGCTTGTTCCTGGCACCTCCACTCTCCAGCATGCCTGGAAAATGAGCTTGAAATACTGCATATAGTAATTGACCAGCTGCACAGAGCATCCTGGAGCTGCTGTTAGTAGGAAATCTGTCCCCAAAAAGAGTGGGAGGCAATGCCAGACCCACAGCTCAGAGTTGGCATGGTTACCTGGCGCAGAGTGCTTTGGTGACACTCATCCATGACCTGCTCCCTGGCAGCAGCAGAACACTCAGGCTGCAACTGTCAAGTGTCTGCAGCCGCTGAGAACAGTTAACTCCCTCAACACTGCTGAAGAGACAGCATTTCTTTTTCAGTGTGTGGAAAGATTTAAAATGCAAAATGGCTGAATCTGAAATACTTGAACCTTGTCTTAGAGGAGTGACTGCCAGGGAGGCCTTGCAGGGCCTCTGGCTGCTACATTCCAGCAAGGGGTTTATTGCATCCACCACCAAAGGGACCAGAGACAAAATACAGGACCATGTGAGCAGCACCTTAAGTGTGGGGTGGGCAAAGGGCAGCAACCTGTAGGGGGGGATGAGGGATGAATAATTGGGGTGGGCAGTGTCAACTGGCCAGTGGGGGAGGCAATCTGATGTGGATTGGCAGGAGTGCTGCAGAGCATCATGGGTTAAGTTTCCTCTATCAGCCTAGGTGGGGAAAACTCTTATGGTATCAGGATTCCACATTCTGCTGATTTCACAGTCTACAATTTAAAGCAAAGAAAGAAGGAACTAAGGCACATGATTTCATGCTGCACCATCATGGATGGGCATACTCGCATTCAGAAAGCAAAACTGTGACAAGTAATAGAAACTTACTCCTCACGATGACACAGGAAATGTTACTCATTAGTTACCATTCCCGAGTTAAAAACGTTTATTCAACTGCAAATGATGTGTCTTTCCAACAAATGCAAAACAGCTTTTTGGTCGTAAATAGCAGGTATTTATTTGAAATGGAAAAAAAATACTTCAGTACCTGAACTATTGCATTTAATCATGTATTGTTGTAATTGTGTTACTCTACCTTTTTGCATTGGAGACAAATATACAATGAACATTCAGATATCACAGATTGCACACTAGATAGTAAATCGTCAGGCCTTTTAACGTAACCACCAAAAAACAGATACTGGATTCTGCAGTATAGTACAAAATTCCACACTCCAGTCTTAGCCAGTTATCTTCAATTTACTCCTGATGCTGTACAAATAAATGGCCATTTAACTAGGGCTTACAAGTTAATAACAGGACAAAAAAAATATACATTGCACTGACACAAAAAGTCAGCTGTGTTAATAGTCATGCAACAAGTAACCAAACTTGCTGAAATTAAAAATACTTTCTAAAAACAGTTTTAACTGCATAAGTATTTTATACACAGTTCATTTACTGAAACAAAAGGAGTCTTTAAATGATATAACGCAAATATGAGTTTCTACCAATTTTATACATAAGAAAGTGCAAAATAACTTATCTAAAGTGTTTTGCTATTGAACTGATGAATGTTGGCTGGAGGCAGCCAACCCCTCTCAAAAGCATGACATTACAGTTGCACACTACATACGAATGTCAGGAGTACATGGATAGGTTTACTACAAAGAACAAGGCAGGAGAAGACATGTGAGGTACTTGCAGAGAATACAGTCTACTAATGTTAGTGTACATGAGTATATTTTTGCTCAACAGATTTTTACATGGCAAACAAAGCAAGTATTTGCATTAGAAGCTTGAATGAAATGGAAAAAAACCCCATTCCCACAGGAACACCACGGTTGCCCACAGCACCAGCCGCCAGAGGGAATATGAGCAGGTGTGTTTGTCCCCCTCCACCTCCAACAAACAAAGATGTGTTTTTTTGGGAACAGAATTAAGTCAGAGGGCTGTGGTGGTTTGATTGCAAAATGTAAACTGTGCCTAGCCTGCCCACTGCAGAATTTGTAAGGAATAAGGATTTCTTTAGTGTGCTGCCAACACTTCAGGTGCAGAACAACACCCGTACACCGTGTCTGTAGCTGACAGCCCCATCCTCAGGAGCCCACAGCAGGACTCTGTCCTGGCTTCAGTGCTGGACCACATCAGTGTTGTTGTCATAGCCTTCCTTTACTAGGGTTTAACCATGTGGCTGTACAAGCTGCAGTCCACAGGAAAGAAGGCTTCCTTCAATTTGGGGATGATTTGTAAATCTGGAGGCAAGGGGAGAAAAACTGTGGACCCCAAGGCATTTAAAAGTTGTTAAAACAGCCTTTTCTTCAAACAGAAAACATTAAGGCCACTAGCCTGTCTTCTGAACTATGCTGGTTTTGCATCATTTTGGGAAGGGTGAAGGCAACGTTAGAGAGAACAGCTGAACACAGAAATTCCAGTGCTCTGCACATACTTACTGAGGACCTCTTCCTGTTTTTAGGGTCAAATCTGCCAAGTAGCCAGTAGTCAGTGTGGCTAGTTGACCATCACTCTTTGGATCCAAAATTTGGGTCAGCTAAGCTCAACAAACCTGCATTTACTCAACAGTGTGCAAGGGCTCTAGAGAAGCCTTTCTGTTCATTTGGGGACCTAGTATACATACCAAAACAGGAATATCTCATTTTATAGACCAGCACATACATAATAAACAAACAAGTATCAAAATACGTATTTAACCTTCAGTGCATAAACATGTGATACCAGGGTAAATAGTAAGTGGTCAGAATTAACAAATTATTTGCTGCTAAAAGCTCAAATCAAGAGAAGACAGGGGTGCTCCAACAGTGCCAGGGACCCTCTGGAAGGAGCTCACCCCAAAGAGAGGGCCTGGAATTTTTGATGGTGCAATTCCAACAACAATGCTGGTTTTAAGGATTTGCTGTCCCAGGGCCAGAGCCTGCCCAAGTCATTCCAAGTGAAGGATAATCCCATCCCTTTGAGTGACAACATTCACTCAAGTACTGCCAGAGTCACCTGTCTTCTGTTGGTCTGGGTCATATCCTTACCTCTATTTAAAAGAATCCATTGTGAATATACCTAGCTGTAGATCAGTTTGTCACTCATTTACAAAATATATATACATATGTTAAAAAACAAAACCGAACTAACCACCAGCCTGCCTGCTGTCCCCTCCCTCTACCCCCTCGCCCAAACAAAAACCCACTGGGGCAAGACCTCATGCAGAAATTAAGTCCAATGTACATGCTCCAATCCCAGTGGACATCAGTGTCTCTACTTCATCCCACATGTAGTGCAAAATAAATGACAGAGTAGTAAAAAAACACTGCAA